GGTGCCCGCCACAACGCCCGGCTATTTTTTGGTTGCAGCCATCATTGTTGTTTTTGGCGGGTCCGGGCTGGGGATTCGAACCCGCCACCTTAGGTGTACGTGGCTGGCGCCCTAGCTGGTTGAGCTATAGGCGCCGAGCCAGAACCCCACTATTTTTTTAGAAACAGGGTCTCACTCTTGTTCAGGCTGGTCTGATATTCCTGAGCTCAAGCTATCCACCCATCTCTGCCCAGAGAGGCAGAGAGCCACAGTGCTCAGCTACTTTATTTTTTATTTTTATTTTTTTTAGTAGCGATGGGAGTTTTATTCTTCCTCAGGCTGGTCTCAAACTCCTAAGCCCAAGCAATCACCTGCCTCAGCCTCCCAAAGTGACAGGATTACAGGTGTGAGCCACCATGCCCCACCCAGCTAACAAATTGCTTTTCTGTAGCATGAGAAAGCCAACCTGGCCACATCCTTACCAGCCTGGCATATCCTTTATTACATATTTTATTAACATGACTGATGAAACTTTCACTAATGCCTTTAGGTGAAGGTTAAACATTTCTTCACTTTTATAATAAGCCATTTTTATTTCTTCTATGAATTGTTTTATATTCTTTCCCAGTCATCTGTTTATATCTATTGCTTTTCTTATCATCTTGTGAGTTGTGTGACTGAAAGATAGGAATTTTTTTTTGAGAAAGGGTCTTATTCTGTTGCCTGAGTTAAGAGTGCAGTGGCATCATCACAGCTCATTGCAGTCCCAGATTCTTAGTTACAAGTGATCTTGCCTCAGCCTTCCAAGTAGGTAGGACTATACCACATTGCTAGGCTAATTTTTCTATTTTTTAGAGAGACAGGATCTCACTATGTAGCTCAGGTTAGTTTCCAACTCCTGGCCTTCAGCAACCTTCCTGCCTTGGCCTCCCACAGTGCTAGATTATAGAAAGGAGCCACTGCATCTGGCCCCAAGATATTAAGCTTCAATAATAAAAAACCTTAAAATACTCATTCTGGGAAAATGAAATACCATGACACAAACCATACCCCCAGTACTACTACTATTACTAGTTATTTTCAAACTGAGCCACTTGCCTGGTTTCGTGTGGATGAGTACTCAGGATTGACCGGAAGAAAGGGGACGACGGTCGTCTCGGTTACCAGGGTGCTGTGGTTTTGTGTGGCAAGCCAGACTAGCCAGAGGAAAAAGCCAGAGACAGAATCTCATCACACCAGGAGTGCCACCGCTCCTCTGAGAGGCACAGCTCACGAGTTAGTTACTAGGGAGACTTGGGGAAGCATACTCTGAAGCCAACATATACGCAAAGGCAAATGTCAACAAGTGCGTTATCAGGACAAGAGAAATTGGGCTAGGAAGACACTGAGGCTGGCAGTTTGTTACTGCCCACTGATAACAGAAGCTTATTAGATAAAGCCACATGTTAAGTCACCTGCATCAGTCTCTCGCCTGTCAACTTCATCGTACACATCCATGGCAAGTTCTTCAAACAAATGATTACTTAGCTGAAAGTAAAAAATATCAGGAACACAAGGGACAACAATTAACACCAGCAGGACGAGAGGGGGCTGTGACTTATTCACCCTTTTATCTCCAGTGTCTATCCAAAGCCAGTACTTAGTAAGTACCCACTGTTAAATAGACAAACATTTCAAAACTGTACAGAGCCTCTAGAAATATCTGCCGCCTGCACCAGCCTCAGTACTTCATGACTCACGGACAGGGCCACAGCTATCAAGGAGGTAAGAGGTGTCTAAAGTGCATCATTTCAAAAGTTGGTTCCAGTTCTCTACTATTCTTACTGTATCACCCTGTTGGGTTTGCTAGCTCCCCACAATGGGAGGGATTCTAAGTCTTAGGCAGGATAAAGAAATGAAAACATGCTGTTTTGAGAGGATAAAATGTGCCATTGCGTAAGAATACAACACAGACCTTGGCTGAATTTCTCTGCTGTCTTTCTCAGTAGCAGGCCTTCAATCTCCTTTCTCAGTAGCAGGCCTTCAATCTCCAGGAGAATGGAGTTTCCCTAACAAAGCACAGCCTGACTAATCAGTATGCGGTGTGGTGTCATGTCACAGAACAATCCTCACTCACACTGAAGTGGCCAACTGGCATCCAGATGAGGTGAAGCCTCTCCCAGGGCAGCTCTGGCTCTCTCTGCCTTCTTTACCTCATGAAACTCACCTGCCACTTCGGCAGCTGTGATTTTTTAGTTGACTGCTTCTGTGCTAATGAGGGTAGATGCAAAATTTGGTGTACTCCCTACTGTGTTCCTTATAGCCACAAACAGTGCCCCACACTCAGGAGGGGCTGGGAAACACCCAGTATTTTACACAGCAGTATAAAATGCTGGCTCCAGAGACCTCACAGGAACACATTAAAATAGGTACAATATATTGTTGAGTGACCCCTCTTTATATATAAAACTATAATTGTAATTATCTGTCTCAAAAAAAGATACGCATATGAAATAAGAACCGAAAGAAATATGCCAAAATCCTGATCCTGACTCCATTAAGAGTATAGTGATGGAGGGTGAGTCCCCCTTCTCTACTTTTCAAGTTTTCTCTAGTGTGGTCACATTACATTTATAAGTAAAAATAAACCTTGAGAGCCTGCTACCAGATAGGATGACGGGCTGGGAGCCTGACCTTGCTTCATAAATATCCACTATCTTCCTATAAGGGACTGTCTGCTAATGGTATCATTACTAGGGCTGGGAGCCTGACCTTGCTTCATAAATATCCACTATCTTCCTATAAGGGACTGTCTGCTAACAACAACTGTAGCAGCCACACTGATTAAGTAAGACCTTATATCTCAAGCACTATGCTACTGGTCTCATATTTAACACTTCCAACACCTCTATGAAGATACGAATTACCACAGCCTGTTTTACAGATAAGGAAATCAAGGCAAAGAAGTCAGTAGCCTGCCTAAAGTCACAAAGCTAGTAAGTAATGGACTTGAGATCCAAGTTTAAGTCTCTCAAAATGTTAGTATTTACTAATTGAAGGAATACATTCACCGTTGTCATATTTCTCTCAGCTTTTTATTAGGGAGAGAGGAAGGTAGGAGGGAGAGGAGAAAGATAATGGAGGATACATACCAGGCACTGATACGAACCCTCACTTGTGAGGACACCACAGCGTGGGGGCCTACCAACTACAATGGGAGCTCACCCTTACTGAGCCCAAGTGGTTCTGATCTGCAGACCCTGCAGACCCTTACTAGGAGAGGACACCAAGGCATAGGGAGGCCAAGGAGCTGGGCAGTGCCGAGATATACACTGACAGTCTGACTCACAGCCCAAGTTTTTGAGACTGTACTGCATTTTGTTCCAGATTTACTTAATGCCTGCCACATGCAAGAGACATTATAGATATAACCTCAGTTTTCATGCAACTTCTAGGCTGGCAATGCAGGACAAACAGAACCTGGGGGTTTTATCTAGCTCTGAATTATTTGTAATAAAAATCTGCTTACAGATTGTAAGTGATAAAAGGAAATCACACAATCCTTAGTGCTACCTTACTCCAAAGCTTATAATCTTAATCACCTTATTATATGACTTCCTTAATTTAAAAAGGCAATAAAACACACAGACACACAAAACTGTAGATACAGAACACAGAGACACCAAACAAATTGCATAAAACACATTTATTTCATAATACAGTTAAATGCTAGTAAAGATAAATTCATTTTATGTAATATTTAATACTTAGTAGTGTACGTCAAGTTCTAGTAAAAGGTCTTCTGTGAAAAGGGGAATGAAGAGGGGTCATAAAAGAAAACTGCAATTTCAGAGTCAAGGCTTGGGAAAGCCACTACCTACTTTGTGAAGTTGGTCAGATTTCAGCTCCTTGAATGATCAGAGGGAGGGGTAGTGGGAAAAGCAAACACTATAGGCAAAGAGGGGATCTGAATGTGGCCAGCTCATGGGCCCAGAGAGTGGTAATACATAAAGAAACACACACACACAGAGTGTTACTACATAAAGAAACACACACACACACACACACACACACACACACGAAACCAGATGGGAAGCAGGCCAAGCTCTGAAAGGTGAGAGTTGAATGACACCCTTAAAGGTTACAAAAAGAAGTTCTAAGAGTCTTGGTTCTGATCCAAAGAAAAATGAGAATAGCTGAGGAGTATAATCTGGTAGTTTCGTGGCTGGGAAGCGCTCTGGTGAGGCATCACTTGAGGAAACTAAACAAAGAAATTGTCCCCAGAGAAACAGATTTCCTGGGGCACTGACAATGGGTCAGGTAGGCAGGGTGGAAAGACAGGCAGACTAAAGGGAGGCCCTGGTGCAGTCGTGGCAAACTCTGAGCACATACGTGGACCAGGACCACCAGGTTTCAGTGACATAAACTTAAAAAGCCCTGATGAATGGCATGGAATGGACAAGAGAATTACAACTGTGGCTGGATCTCCAATGGCGGTGAAGGAATGTATAGTGTTCACCACCATTCCAGTATCAGCTTTATCAGTCTCTAGCATCCTATGTGGCCCCAGTAAGTAACACACAAGAAAAGTGTGTCCGACTTGTGCATCATGTTGAGAGAGACGAGGGAACTCTACTGAGGAGAAACAACTTTCTAATGTCAAAGCCACAGCCTACTTTTAATATGGCAGAGAAAAGTGGGATTATTTGAAGCAGAACCAAAAAATGGATATACTAAACTTTTTTTTTTTAAGAGATAGGGTCTTGCTCTGTCACCCATGCTGGAGTACAGTGGCAGGATCATAGTTCACAGCAGCCTCCACTCCCCTGCCTTGGCCTCTTGAGTAGCTGAGTGCATGCCGCCATGCCTGGTTACTTTTTTCATTATAGTTCTCATTTTTGTAGAGATGAGGTCTTGCTACTGCCCAGGTTGGTACTGAACTCCCGGTCTCAAGTGATCCTCCTGCCTTGGCCTCCAAAGTCGGAGGTACTAAACTTAAAAGTGCTTTTCATCTTTATTGCTACATATTTAACTGTCTGCTTCTAATTTAACAACATCTAAAAGTATATGTAATCTGACACAAAAGTTTACTTGCACTGAAAACAGGTATGAGTAGCATACATTGATTCCCATACTGGAGTTCACCAGTAGAGAGATACTCACAGATTGAAGTTTCTTCTTAGCAGCTTTTGCCAACTCAGACAAATCCAGGCTGCTAAGAAAATGTACAAAACTAATAAGCAAATAAATAAAACCATGTTCATGAGCTCTGTAGAAGATTAAGATACCAAGGGATAAAAATATTGATTACAGCTTGTGGATACTGTCAGAGACAATCATTCTACAGTCCAATAGTCAGTGAAGAAACCTTAAACAGAACAGTAAAGTAAAAGTAGCTTCTTCTAGAAATGCCATAATCATATCACATGGCAAGAGAATAAAACAAATCACCTACCAACTAAATGCCAAAAGCTATTAACAGGTAAATCTCAAGCCCCTTATGTGAGAAATAACAATTTTTGAAGTGTTTAAAACACACACACACACACACACACAAAATAAAAAAATACAAAAAGGGAACATGTGAAAAACAGGTATTGTAAGATTATATCCAGAATAGCAGCTCATCACTTTACAAACTCTGGATAATTTTATGCAAAGGTAACTGGCAAAATAAAGATTTAAGGTTCATTTCCTGCAGCAATGAACTCATCTAATCTCATAGAGCCAGGGGCAGCAAATTACGGCCTTCTTTTTGTTTGGCCCGTGATTTACATTTTAAAATGATTGGAGGAAACAAAATAACATTTCATAACATGTTAAAAGTATATAAAATTAGAATTTCAGTGTCTAGAAACAAAATTTTATTGAAGAGACCTGCCCATTCATATACACAGTGTCCACAGATGCTTCTGTCTATAATGGAAGAGTTCAGTAGTTGCAAAAGGCGCTGGAAAGCATACAAAAGCCTAAAATATTTACTGTCTAGCTCTTGACAAAAACGTTTGCTGACCCCTGTCATAGACAAAGAATATAATCTCTCTTAATACATAAATATCCTGTAAGTATACAGACAAAATATTCAGTCATAACTGGCTAAAAATATTTGTAGACACAATATATGGTCACAACTGCCTGAAACAGTGACAATATCAGATTCCAATTTTCTTACTGGTAAACTTGTTACTTGTGCTCTTTCAAACTTAAGTTTTATATGATGGTTTACTTACAGCTGTCTTATTTCCAAATTGTATAGCCATAAAAGAGAAAAATGTATGGGCTCTGTTAAACACAAAATACGATACACAAACACTATACATCCAAGTTACTGATGATGGATAAAACGGATTGGTATTTAAACGGCCTTACCTGTCTGCCATTTGAGGTATTATAAAGTGCTGTCCATTTTTGTGATCTGAAACAGAAACCAAGTCAAAGTTTTGTTCGTAAACATTGACAAGACCCATAAAGGAATGCCACTGTTACTTTCTCAATTTAAGTTTTGCAATTAGTATTTTTGCATAGTTTGGAGTCATATGGGAGAGCAGAAGTTGCCAGATTGGCTACAAATTTCTGAGGGCCTGGTCAGTAGCAAGAATCATATCCTTGTTTTCTTTTGATACAAAGATCCAGATATTATTAAATAAATACCTGTGCTCACCCCATTCCTTAGGGGATTAATTTAGCCTTAGTATAACTACGACTTTCAGCCAGGGAAGGTGTTCAGAGAGCTGAATTAGCTCAGAGCAGGCTTCTGTCAGCTCACTGTGTGGGATGGTAGAGCTTCACTGAGCTCTGGTGGCTCATTTGTATTAATCTATGAGTATAAAAGTCAGGGCTGGGGCAGGTGGCTTTTGAGACCCCATCTCCTACAAAGGCTTAATGACTCAGTCCTAATCTAGCTTCTGGAGAATAATGACCAACGTACCAGTGAATAAAGCCACTAACAGCACTCAGGTTTTTGTGTAAGCATGTTTATATTTCTCTTGGGCAAATGCTTAGGAGTGGAACTGCTGGGTTATACAGTGTGTAAATCTATGTTTAGGTAAGAAACTGCTAGACTTTTTTTCAAAGTAGTTTTATCATTTTGTATTCCACAGAACAGCTTATTAGAATTATAGTTGCTTCCCATCTTTTCCAGAACTTGTATTGTCTGTTGTTGCTGTTTTTTTTTGTTTTCTTGAGACCAAGTTTCATTTTGTTGCCCTTGATAGAGTACCGAGGCATCATAGCTCACAGCAACCTCAAACTTGGGCTCAAGGGATTCTCTTTCCTCAGCCTCCTGAGTAGCTGGGACTTTAGGTGCCCACCACTACACACAGCTAGTTTTTCTTTTTTTTTTTTTTTGAGAC